TAATAAATACCAGATTCAGCATTGGACCTGGGACTGCCTGACTCCAGAGCATATTCTCTTAATTCTTCTTCAATATTGCTTCTCTAGAACCTTTTAAAAATGTCTATTTAGGTGAAGCACTTAATATTTTTAAGGTGCTTTCTGAGTAATTCCTGTGGCATATTGATAGGCACAACCTTGATATTAAATCTGGGTTATGTTTTTACTTCCCCCATTGAAGCTGGGTGACTCTTGGGCTAGTGTTTTTTTGTTTTTTGGTTTGTATTTTTGTTTGTTTGTTTGTTTTAGTTGTTATGAGTTTGGTCTCCTGAGCTGTAAGATGAGGATAAATCCTACTTCTCAAGACTGCTTTGAGGAGATATCCACATTTATATCTGTATTTCCTTATCTATATATATCTATATAATCTCATGGAGTGACTGCAGTGTAGAAGGTAATCAATATCCTTCAGCTTCCTTCCTTCTTCCATTAGAATAGCAACTCCATAATTATGTAAAATACAATCTGAGGTGAATGAGATCCTTTGGAAGGCAAATTAAAATACTATATTAGTCTGCTAGTGTTGCCAAAACAAAGTACCACAGACTGGGTAGCTTAACCACAGAAACTTGGAGCTGGAAGTCCAAGATCAATCTCCTTGGCTTGCAGATGGCCACCTTCTTCCTGTGTCCTTACATGGCTTTTTCTCTGGTGACATGTACTCCTGGCATCTCTGTGTGTCCAAATTTCCTCCTGTTGACTATACATCAATAAATTTGAAAAAACCCAAAACCCCCAAAAATTTCAAAGAAACAAAACAAATTTCCTCCTTTTGTGACACCAGTCATATTATATTAGGCCCTACCTGTATGACCTCATTTAATGTTAATTACCTTTTTAAAAGGCCCTGTCTCCAAATTCAGTCACTTCTGAGGTACTGGGGGTTAGGACTTCAATGTATGAGTGGGGGGCAGTGGGGACACATAATAATGCTTGGTGTAAGAGTAAGTAAGTTTCAAAAAGTCATAAAATCATCAGCAATTCTGCTTACTTTATGCTCCATATATCAAGCTTGTTACCTGCAAAACCAAACCAAACCAAATCTTCTCCATAATTACTGGGAACATGTGAATTGTAAATATAGTTCTGTAAGTGTTTAAAGGCCAGTTAGCATAGCTTAAGCAATTAGACTCCCCGGGCTGGGTGTTTACTGGACAGCTGGGTTTATGAACAGTGGGCGCATACTTATCTAGTATATAAAGAGGCAGCAGACTGCAGCTATCTGGATTTGGAGAAACAGCAATGATGGATGTCACCCTGGGAAGAAGGAAGAGTCTCTGATCCAAAAGACCAACTGCAGGCAAACACCAAAAGAAAACCAAATATGATAAGCAGCTCTTACGGATGATTAAAGTCTTCCACTTCTTAAAGGAAGGAGTTATTTTTCTCATTTATCCTTATAACCCCAATCTCGCTTTTTTTTTTAAATAACTTGTTTCTAGGCAAGAATGAACAGATACTTATCTTTGTCTGTAAGCGCTTCAAGTCCAAAGTGGTACCTGAAGTGGTTCCATCAATCTCATTCAGTTAACTAGGGATTCATGTGTCCAGGCACCAGGCTGAGCCCTGGGAATAAAGATGAGGAAGAAATGACTCCTTCCCTCAACATGCTCACCATCTATTGGAGAGGCCTTCATTCATTCATGTTCTCAAGTCAATGAATATTTACTCCACACTCACTATGCTGATGGAAACAAATGAGTACCTCAGTGTGACAGGTGCGCTAATAGAGGAATGTATAAAAGGCTTAGGAAGCATCAGGGATGGTGCAGGCCGTAACGCCAAACCAGTGCCTACTCATTTATTGCTGGTCATGTTTTCCTCTTGGTAGAGTAGGTTCATTTCATCTTAACAACAACTCTGTGAGATAAATATTATATTCATTTTACAGGTGAGGATATGTGAGATTCAGAAAGGCCAAGCTACTTGCCCAAAGTCACACAGCTAGTACATATGTGGCAGAGCTGGCAAGTAAACTCGCGTTAGCTGACAGCCGTGGAGCCTGGTTTGTTTCATCAGGTGGGGTGAGGTGGTTCGGTATCTTCTCCGAGCAGCTTGGCTATACAAGTCATATCCCACCATTTTACTGGTTTTTAAAGTGAATTAAATATAACTCTGAGCCCCCAGACTGGTGGAAGTGATTTCAGTTGATATAGGGGCGCCCCTCCTGCCACACCCAGGTTGTGCAAGGACTCACAGATAACTCAGGAGTTTCCTCTGGTGGTTGATCCATGTTTGTTCCTGGTTCCTTGGTCACATGAAGTCTTGTGACTCAGCTGCCACTTCAGGCAAGAGAAACTGACACCCATCCCCCGGGCCTCCTCTCTACAACTCCCCACTTCCTGTCTCCAACTGGGGAAGGCACTATAAGAGGCGGCTTCAGGTCAAGTCAGCTGTAGGTCCTGCTGCTTGGGGAGCCCGCACCTCCTTCCTTGGAGGATATCTTTCTCATTATCCCTACTCTTCCCTTGTCTCCATCCGCCTACGCCCATGCTGCTGGGTGCTCCCTCTGGAAACTCAGGACATCCCAGATGGCACCTTGCACACAGAGGGTGTCTGTGTTGGCTCAGGTCCTCTGAGAAGCAGACACCAAAATAGGAATAGATTTACATAAGAGATTTACTGAGTGAAAAGGGGCAAGAGCTACAGGAGGCTGGAGGAGTATTCAGACCCCCATGCTATCTGTGTGGGAGAGAGAAGGAAGAAGGTTTCTATAAGAAGAGTCTTGGACTCCACCACAGTGCTGGGAAGCATTGGCAAGGCCAGTGGGGAGTCCTGGAGCCAGTTACCTGTCAGAGGAGTCCTGCCTCTTGCAGGAAAGAGCCTGCCTTATATCCCTGCTGTGTTCAGTGCTTGTGGCAAGCAGCCTGTGAGAAATGGGATCCTCGAGCCAAAGCCAAAGCCTCAGAGCACCACAGCTGGATCAGCCTTCAATTAAGCTCCTCAAGACCCCACGGGGCCTGATAATGTTAGTCTGTGTTACTCTTTATCCAAATCATTTGCATGCATAGAGAGATGCTAAGTTTATAACTTGCAACAGTTTTATTAATAGCAGTAATAATAGTGCTCACCATTTATTAATAGAAAGCTTTTTTATGTACCAGGCACTGCACTAAATATCACACATCATATCATTTAAAATAATCCTATGGACTGCTATGATCATTAGCCCATTTTAGAGATAGGGATTCTTATGGTTTGAATTGTGTTCCCCCCAAATTCATATGTTGAAGTCCTAACCCCCAGTATCTCAGAACATGACTGTAATTGGAATTAGGGTCTTTAAAGAGATAATTAGGTTAAAATGAGGTCATTAGGTTGGACCATAATCTACATAACTGGTTTCCCTTTAACAAGAGGAAATTTGGATGCAGAGATACAAAGGGAAGAAGACGTGAAGACCCAAGGAGAAAATAACCATCTACAAGCCAAGGAGAGAGGTCTCAAAAGGAACTAACCCTGCCAGCGCCTTAATCTTGGACTTCAGGCCTCTAGAACCGTGAGAAAATTAATTTCTGTTGTTTAAACTGCTCAGTCTGTGGTACTTTGATATGACAGCTCTGGCAAATTGATACCAGAATATTGTGGCTTAGAGTGGTCGAGTAACTTAGCCAAAGTCACAAAGCTAGCACATGGGGAAAACAGCATTCCAGAGCCCATTCTTGGAAATATTCTGTACTGGGTGGTCCACAGTGGCTGGGCAAGGGCTCAGAGTAACAGAATGTGGATGACAAAGTGACTGAGGAAGATCATTGAGACAGAACACAGCCTGGTGAGCTGGGAACCTTATGTGAAAGGGAACCTGACACCAGAAATTGACAAACGTTGTAAACTGACTATACTTCAATTAAAAAAAGAACTTTTAATTATTATATTAAAAAAAAAAAAGAAGAAGGAAAGGGAACCTGTCTGGCCAGCCAGGAGGAAGGCTTTACATCTCGCCTCTACCCTCTACTGGCTGGGTGTTCTTGGCTAATCCACTCTTGCCTTCTGAACTACAGTTATATTCTGTGGAATTATTAGAATTCCTGTCTTACTGAGCTGTTCAAGCCATCTAAAAAGGTCATTATATGAAAGTGCATGGAGAGGGAAGGGCAGAGGGGAAGAACTGAACTTGCTTTATATAAATATTAGTGTAGTTATTATACATTATCCCTGTTTTAGTGAGTGCTAATAATGCTGTTATAATGATGTTGTCAGTATTAGAGCATCAGTTTTCCAAGCTTGATTCAAATGATGTATTTTTTGATGCCAGAAATTCATGGAGATCACTGGGGCTGCACATTGTAAATAGCCCTATGATCCAAAAAACTCTTAGACCTCAATATAAATGTCAATAAATGACATTAATGCTCAGCCTACAGAAATGGACTCATTAAATGGTTATGAGGATTAATGTAATAAAAATACCTAGCATATATTGAGTTCTCACATGTGTCAAATTCTGTTCTAAATGATCTAAACAAAATAATTACTTGTGACAATCCAAAGAACAACTCCATGAAGAAGAAACTGTTACTATAATTCCTAGGTTACAGATGAAGAAACTGAAGCCCAGAGAGGTTAACTAGGCCAAAGTCACACAGCTAAGTAAGTGGAAGAGTAAATATTCAAACTAAGGCACACTGGTTCCTAGATTAGATGTGGATTGGAGAAGAAATGCATCCAGGATGGCACTACCTAACTCTAATTTCATAACAACCATATGGTTGTTATGAAATTAGAATAACCTAATGCCTATAAAGGTGCAACCCAATAGCCACAATATTAGTAATTTTAGCCATTATAATTTATTTTAGTAATAATGATGAAGGTAATAATAACCTTAAAAAATGCAGGCTGCATTCTACTTTAGGTTTCTCTTTTTCTTTCTTCGTACACCTTTTCTTTTTATCTAGTACACATTTTTCTCCCTCATAATCCTGGTCTTTCTTCTCTGCCAATTCCTTTTTCTCCTGTAGAAAAATCGATGGGACCAGTGAGGAGGAAGGAAGCATTGAGCTGAATGAAGAAGGAAGGCCAGTGCAGACATCCAGGCAGAGCCCCCCACTCTGCGACTGCCACTGCTGTGGTGTCCCCAAGCGTTACATCATTGCCATCATGAGCGGATTAGGATTCTGCATTTCCTTTGGGATTCGGTGCAATCTTGGAGTTGCCATTGTGGAAATGGTGAACAATAGTACTGTGTATGTTGATGGAAAACCAGAAATTCAGGTCAGTCTCTGTCTATGGTGGGAGTTCTTTTGGCCACAGCTGTATTAATGTTTTAAATTCTTAAAATGAAATACATAGGGTTATAAAGGAAACCAATTCTTTTAAAATTGAGATATTAAAATAGTTAAAAATCAATTTGTGGTATAGAAACACATGGGCTTCCTTATAAACACATCAGATGACAAACACTAGCAATATCTCTAATAATGACTGTAATTTTGAAATTTGAAGGGTAAACAATATTTTGAGATAGTGGCAACAACTGTCATGTGATATGAACATATTTATAATTTCCACTAGTAATAGAGTCACAGGTGCTGGTAATATGACGGGTTTGTCACCTACATTCATTATTGCAAGAAATGCTAAATTTTAGTTAGTGGAAATAAAGATTTTTCCCCACCCAAGTTCACAGATCCACAGGAATTCCATCCATGACCCCAGGTTAAGAACTCCTAGTAAAAGAGCAGAGCATAGGGTACACAACACAAGAAGGAGGCAGTAAGTAAAGTGGGATTAGGTCACAGGGAGCCTGGTAAACCATGTGGGGAGTCACAAGGGGGTTTTAAGCAGAGATGTGGTACAATCAAATCCATGCTCCAGAATGATCACTGTCCAGCCAGTCATCTCCCAGTGGATGGGGACTGGAGTGAGTAGAAGCAGAAGGCCTGGTTCAAAGGCTGTTGAAGTCATAAGCAAGCATATTCTGATATGACTTAAATAGTATTGTTTTTATAAATTGCTGGAAAGATAAAATCTGGCTTGTTTCTTAAATGGTAGGCCTAGAGAAGTAGTGAGGTGACTAGAGCAAAAACAAAAATGCATGCCCAGTGGATGCCCACTATCTACATGTTTCACTGTGTTGAACACACACGCTGGAGTGACTCGTGTGGAAGTCCATCCGGTTGCACAGAGACAACTAATAGTTCTCTGGTCCCTGCTCATATTAGATAAGAGTTTCCCAAACTGGTGTCTGGCAGATCATCGTTCTGTAGGCTGTGCTGTGAAGAAGGTGTTGTATGAAATGGGAGCCTTTACTGTGCTGTGTCCTAGGAGAATCTCCAAGAGGGGGCCATTGTGTACGTGGTCTCCTGGACTTGACTGCAAAAGGCTTTCTTTCACGTCACACCAATTAGCATTACCTGGTATTGTTCCTGCCTAGAACTGGTTTGGGAAAGTTTGATTTCAATTCATTAAAAAGAAGTCTTTAGTTGGCCTGCAGGCCTTTTCTTTCCTTCTTTCTTTCCTTCCTTCTTCCCTCCCTCCCTCCTTTCCTTCTTCCTTCCTTCCTTTCTTTCATGAGAGTATTCTGCCAGAAGGAAAGGGCACCGTGGAGATTCTTCTAACCATTCTCTTTTTGATGCCACAGTTGAATCTTTTCTGAAAGGATATCCTGGTTGTTTATTTTTTGAGGGGGGAGGGAGGGCAGTAGAGATGTGGGGGGCATGCCATGCATTTTTTAAATAAAGAATGATGTATATTAGCAAGGAGTTTTCAGATGTGTATCACATGCATTCTCGCAGCCTTTTGTGAGCAAGGGCAGCTAATTAAACTTGTCTGCTAAGGATCCAGCTCAGACGCTGGTTTGCATTTCTTTGTTGCCTGAAAAGATAGACCTAGGTCAACAGAATTTGCTTTGCGGCATGTAGAAAAGGCACTTCGAAAGGCCTGCGGAACGATGCTGTGTGTGCTTTCCAGTTTCTGCGGTTTTGCCCTCTGGAGTTAAGAGAAGCTGATTAAGATCTAAAAATATGCTTTACATCATGTTCTCTGGGATTATAAAGAAGAATTTAATAGCATTTCAGAAGCTCCAATTTATAGCAGGCCATTTTTCTGCAAAATAGAACAATGCTTAGATATCTAAGCATGTTCAACCTGATGACAAAGATTTCACTAACTGTAACAAGAAAGGCTCTCAATGGCTGCTATTTTTGTTTGTTTTATGGGGCGGAAATTAGATATTTTGTGCTGAGATAGTTTTACGTCCTCATTTTCAACAGAGGGAGAGAAGTAAGCAATATGAACAGGTAGGTTCTGCAAACAAGCAGCATATGTTCTACTAGTGGTATAAAGGGAAGTTTCAGTTGATGTGCGAATCATCACTTTAAATTTAATAATTATGAATTTTTAAACACGTGAATTACCTAGAACAGTGTCTGGCATGTGGAAAGCAATAAATGACTAAAGTCTGAGAAGCTTTGAGATTAGTTCTCATTACCCTCAGGGAAAGTCCAAACTCCTCCTCATGAATCAGGAGCCCTGTACGGTTAAGAAGAATTGGGCTTTGGAATTGACCAGAGCTGGTTTCAGGCTTGGCTCTGTTGTTTATTAGCTCTGAGACCTTGAGCAAGTTGCCCTTGTGTCCTGGTCAGGGATTGCTGGTGGCCAAGAGTAGAAATGCAGGGAAGCCAGCTCAAGTTAAAAAGAAATTACTGTGGGGTTGTAGGGAGCTCATAAAAGTGAAGGACCGAATGCAATCTGCTGTATATGTTTGTGGAGTCTGTGTTCTGGACAAGGGGGGGACCCAGCCAGAGGTGGTATGGAAATCCAGGCTGTACTCCATCATGGCGAGCGAAGGAGCCAGGAAGGGCAGAGTGGAGCTGGTCATCACGGGAACTAGGAAGTCCTTAGCTAAGGTCTCCAGCTTGCTTGCTGGGCATGGTTTTCTTGCATCTGCTCCCCTGAGTCTACTCCATTCTCCCAGGTCTCTCCAGGGACTGTTTCTTGTGTGTTTTTGTTTGTGTTTTTGCCCCTTTTTCGTGGCTTCTCACTACCTCCAGAGCTGAAGTTCCTTGATCCTTTGCCTTGCTGGGGAGCTGACTTCCTTGGCCCTTACTGCAGTGGGACTTCTTTCAGTTCCAGTGTTAAGTGCTGTCTGACTGGAATCTTTGGGTTCAGACTGGAGAGAGAGAGAGAGCTGGTGGGCTGAGTCTGGCCGGCACCTTGGCCCTCTCTATCCCGGTGTCTGCAGAGGAGAAGCCCATGGCGCCAAGGGGAGTGGGGAGAATTATCTTAGAAAATACGTGAGCAGGGAGACAGGAACTGGAATTTCTAGCAGTTCTCTGCTAACCTTCATTGCCCTTCTTGTGAAATGGGAATGAAAGTCCTGCTTGCAGATCAAATGAGATAATTTGGTACTAATATACTAAATACCTCTATTAGTTTCTGAAGCCTGCCATAACAAAAATTACCACCAACATGGTGGCTTAAAACATCAGAGACTTAGACTCTCACAGTTCTGGAGAGGACCCCTAGCAACGCCACACTCCCTCCAAAGGCTTTAGGGGAGAAATCTTCCTCGCCTCTTCCAGCTTCTGGTGGCTCCATGCATTCTGTGGCTGTGGCAGCAGAAATCTAATTTCTTCCCCTGTCTTCATGTGGCCTCCTCCTCTCTGTGCATCTCCTCCTCTTATGTCTCAAATCTCGCCCTGCCTTTCTCTTATAAGGAGGCTTGTCATTGGATTTAGGGCCCAGCTGGATAATCCAGGATAGCTCGTCTCAAGATCCTTGACTTTATCACATCAGCAAAAACCTTTTTCTAAATAAGGCAGCTGTCATACTTTCTGGGGATTTTGTTTGTGTATCTTTTGGGGGCCATTTTTTCAGCCTAATACAGCACCTGACACAGTGCTTGGCTTATAGTGGTGGTTCATGAACGCACAGGTGGGTCACTATGATTCTAATGGGGCTCAAGTGATAATGAAAGTCAGTTCTTGGCAGGCGCAAGTGTTCTTCATGTATCATTTCCCAAAAGGACAGAAGCACCGTCCCCTCTAGGTGTTCTAAAGATTAGAGGAGGAAATATATGGAAAGTGCCTTAAAATGGATCCTCTTCTGCTCTCCATCTCTCCAACTCTGAGTAAACACCAAGGTCCTTGTGATGCCTTAAAGAGCCCTTCATCATTTGAACCTCTCTTAATGCCTTTGTCCTCTCCCTCACACATTACCCTTCAGCTGTACTGACTGACATCCTGCTGTTCCTCAAAGATACATCCTTACCTCAGGGCCTCTGCACTTGCTATTTCTCTGCTTGGAAAGCATTCTTTTCAAATAATGAATGGCATGACTTGCTCCCTTCCTTCCTTCAGAACTTTACTCAAAAATCACCTCCTCAGTGAAGCCTTTCCTGGCCACTTTATCTGAAATTTCACCCTACTTCACCCCTACTAAACACTTCCTGCCCCTTCCCTACTTAATTTTTTCCCTCATTACTGATCACTATCTAACACAGTATGTACTTGTTTACTTTTTGACATCGCCACTGGCATCTTTGTGGAGACTGTAATTACTGCTCACTGCCTGGAACAATGTGTTGCACACAGTAGCATGAAATAAACATTTGGTGATCTGTTTTGAATTAGTGATTGTTAGTTCCATTTCACTGTTGAGCTTCAACTTCCTAATCTGAAAAATGGGAACCATAGTACAGAGTGCAGTTCACTGTTATCTGGACTGTGATCTCATAGAAGGCAAAGACATTTCTTGTTTGAGTCTGTATTTATACTGGCACAGAGGAGGCATCACGTGCATGTTGAATAAATGAGCAAATAAATACGTAACAATTTGTAATGGGAAAATAAACTGTGATTAAAGTTTATAAGATGCAGTATGTTAACAATTAAGTATCCTTACTTCATAATGGGAACACCTTAGGTTTTGTTATCAGTGCTTTACAAAGCCATTCATTTATTCATTCATTTGGCAAATCTTTACCTGCACCTTCTCTGTTCCAGGCATTTGTTTTAGGTACTGAGGCTATAAAGTCAAAAGGACATGGCTGCCACCTTAGAGTTATTGCTACCCAGTGTGGGAAATGGGCACACAGATGTCTGTGGGACAAGTGCAGGGAAAAGTCACCATTTCATTTCAGGGCAGTTGGCGAGCTTCTCAGAGGAAAGGACCTTTGTAAGGAGTCTGAAAAGGATGAGTTTCCTTGCCTGGGGAAGAACACATTTTCCATGGCCTAAGGGCATTTTGCTGCCATTGTTATCATCATAACAACAATGGCTGCTCCTGTTTACGGAGTCTACACCATGTTCCAGGCACTGTCCTAATGTGTTAAATGCAAAATCTCTAAGCAGAGGAATAACCTACTGGAAATAGTCATGCTGTTTGCCCCCAGGCGTCCTATGGGTAGGTAGAATAGGTTTTATCATCCTCATTAAGAAATGACAGGCTTAAGGCTCTCATTCCCTTCCTGCTCTCCCTAAACTGGTGTCTGAATAAACTAGTAAATAACCTAGTAATCCTAGAATTTATTTTTTGTTTTTTTCACAAATTGTTTTATTTTCTTCCTAACACTAATCATCATTTGAGATATATATATATATACATATGTATATATATATATATATTTAATTTGTACATAATCTCTCCTTTCTCTTACTAGAAGGTGAATTCAGTGACAGCAGGGACTTTGTTGGGTCATATATCCCCAGCACACAAGAGGTGCTCTATAAATATGCGTTGAGTAAAGGAGAGAAAGAAAGACCTTGTGGGGTTATTATGCAGGCTCGTTGGTGAACAGTGGCGGTCAGTTGCTTTCTTACAAACACAACTTTATCTGATTTGTCATTTTCAGACAGCACAATTTAACTGGGATCCAGAGACGGTGGGCCTTATCCATGGATCCTTTTTCTGGGGTTATATTGTGACACAAATTCCAGGTGGTTTCATTTCAAATAAGTTTGCTGCTAACAGGTAAGAGAAACTGATAGAACATGAGTGCTGCACAGATCATAACATGACCTTGTACTTTTATAAAATCTGCATAATTGGCTCTCTGTGTAGGGGTGCAGAATGAAACATAGAAGCCATTCCTAAACATGTGATTTCATTGGTCTTATATGATCCTGTTCTTAAGAGTCTCTTTTATTTACTTTTTTGTCTAGTCTCATTTATCTTGCCTTTTTTTAACGTGATTGTGTAGTAAAAAGATCAGTTGGCTCTGAGTCAAGGAGAAACTGTTCCTGGGCCCTAAGTAACTCACTTGGGGACCTCCACTGAGCTACTTCCTTTTTTTCTATGGGCCTCATCTGTGAAATGAAGCATGGATTAGACTGAGTGTGCTCTGACCAGTGACATTCTGTCATCCTGTGTACTATGTTAATATCATCCTAAACCATGCAGGTTTTGTCCTATGAGTAGTAAGGGCTTGCCTCTACATTGCTAGAGACTATCTTTAAACCCTTTGAGATTTCCTAGTAGGTGCTGGAGCAATTAAAAGTGTCCAAGACAAAATGAGCTGCCTCAATCAGCAGTGAGTTCTCTGTCACTAGAGATATTCAAGCAGAAGAGGATGGCCACTTGGGGGAGATGCAGGGTGTATATGTACCAGACAAGGAGTGTACTAACTAATTCCAGGTCTCTTCTAATTGTAATTGACTTTACATGTATGGATTTTGTAAAGTGTATATTTTATATAGCAGGGTTTTTCAAACTCTAAAACACAACTCATTAGATGGCAATGAAATCAATATAGTGATTTACCGATGAGCGTTTTCTAAAACAAAGAGAAAGAAAGAAACAGAAGAAAAGATAATCACATAGAATACAATAGAATAGAAAATACCTTAGCTCATTGCACACATAAGTATACTGTTTTTTGAAACTTGTTTTGGTTCCATTTGTGTATATAAAGTATGTGCTGGGTTGCAACATAAAATATATTTTGTTTTATGGGTCAAGGACCAAGAAGTGTGAAAGTCACCTCCATGAGATTTAAACATGTACAAGCACAACTCATATTTACTTATTTTTTGTCTAATTTGTGTCCTTTATTTATTGTCACTTACCTGTTGTATTCTTTTTAAAAAGTGATAAAATATTGGATTTTATGATCTCTGGAGTTACTGCTTACACTTCTGCCCTAAAAAGAAATAACACATAGTATAATGTGCCAGCATGTGAGAAGGGCTGAAGCATCATTACCATGTGTGAGAAAGGAAGAAAATGCTGCCTGCTCTTTTCCCCCAGGACACTCCTGTCCAGGCAGGGAGAAGGCATGGGGCACTAGGCAGAGCTGGGGGCTAAGACAGTTACACAGCCTGTCCTTGTGCTTGGCTGGTCCCAGGACACAGCATGCTTCTCAAACAGTCAGTATCCCCAGCTGGTAAAGGGAGAATAGAAGTGGGAAGCAAGAGACACAACTCGAATGTACAGACATCACAAGGTAATGGTCAGACTGGAATAGCTGGGTGGGACCCCGAAGGATGGTGGGTCTCTAGCAAGCTCACCTCATGCAGTTAATCTCCAGCTTCAGGGTCTCATCCAGGCAGGACATCCCTGTACTGCCAAAAACCTTCCTACAATTGGTCCAGGGACTGGAGCTGAGGAATCAAAGCAGCTCAACAATCTAGCTTGGAACATACCAGACCTTAACACAACAACTGTTTCTCTTTCTATTAATTTCCATAGTGATCTTGCATGATCGGATGTTTAACTAAGGAGACACATCTATCAGCAGCCTGTCCAATAACACAGTGTTTTGGTTCCTTCAGGGTCTTTGGAGCCGCCATCTTCTTAACATCAACCTTGAACATGTTCATTCCTTCTGCAGCCAGAGTGCATTATGGCTGTGTCATGTGTGTCAGAATTTTGCAAGGTCTGGTAGAGGTAGGAGATTCTTTTCTTAATAGATTTGATATTGCTGGAGACAACATGGTCTTTTAGAAATTTCAGCTTTTGAAGAAAACCCCGTTTACTCAGTTTTCATGTCTTCCACCTTGTCCTGCTAAGCACCTCCCCCTGCTTATGATTACAATTATGAATACTTTGATTAAAATGCCTTGTGTGATTTCAAACTTAAACACAATAAAGAACTATTGCACGGAGTACAGAATTTCAGATGAGTCAGGAGTGATCTTAGAGATAATCTGATCCAACCCCTTTCATTTAATAAATTTTGAAACTGAAGCCCCAAAACTACAGTTCACATAGCAAGGGCTCTTTCCACTAAAACAATTTACATGGATTTATTAATAAATATGTAAATTTCCAAGGGTATAATCTTACACAGAGGCTTAACTTGAGGAAAGCAGTCGTCTGATATAGAGCTAGAAGGTAAATTTTTTGGACTTTGCTGACCATAGAGTTTCAGTTGCAACTACTCAACTCTGCTGTTATAGGACAAAAGCAGCCAGGAAGGATATGCATATATACAGGCCTGGCTACGTTCCATTAAAACGTTCGGGGTGCTGAAATGTGAATTTCACATGATTTCTACATGCCATGAAATATTCTATTTCTTTCCATTTTTTCCTCACCAGTTAGAAATGTAGAAACTGTTATTTGCTCGAGGGTTGTACAAAAACAGATGGTGGGTCAAATCAGGCCCCAGTGTGCCAACACCTGATGCAGAGAAAACTCAGTCATTTCTATGTTTGTCACTTTTGTCATATCCATGTACGATTTGTTCTATTATTAATATATGGTTTCCCCTAGATCAATTCACTTACATACATACACACACACACACACACACAAACAGAAAAAAACCTCACATAAGGCACAATATCTTTGAAATCATTGGTTTGATATGCTAGTGATACTTTTTTCTAGAGCATATTAGAATAGACACTTAACAATTAAATTTAAAATGTAGGTTGTTGTAGCACCTCATATCCAACTCTAGTCCCACTAGAGGGACCTGTACCACACTTTGGAAAACACTGATATGGTAGAAAGAACAAATTGTTAGCAGCCGTAAAGACTAGAGTCTAATCACTGAATGGCTCTGAGCCTCAGGTTCTGTACCTTGAAATGAGGGGATGGACCAGGTGATTGTGGAAGTCAATTCCCACACTGAAGTTCTATCCTAATATAAAATATAAAGATTGCCTTCCCCATTCCCCATTTGAACTAGAATTTGAATTTCAGAATTAGTACTACAAGTGAAGATGGCACACACGTCATTTAATATCTATGAACTAGGCTTTTATATTGTAGTGTTAAAGAAGCAGAATCCGTATTTTAAACACAAAGAGGAACTGGAGTCAAGTCAAATAATCTATTTTCAATGGTTTTGCCAGGGTGTGACCTACCCAGCTTGCCATGGGATGTGGAGTAAGTGGGCGCCACCTTTGGAGAGAAGCCGACTGGCCACCACCTCTTTTTGTGGTAAGTGTATTAGAATCATAGTAAGTTTCATTTAGGACTGCTTTTGACTTCAAGTGAAGACCCTACTAAATAGAGTCTATTTTTTTTCACATAACAGAAGTCTGAAGTTGAGCGGTTGCTAGTGTTGGTCCTGCTGCTCTGTGATCTGTCCAGGGCCTATGCATATTCTGACTTTCTAGTCCACTGTTCTCAAAGTGATAACTTCTTACTCGCATGCTTGCTCCTCATGTTCACAAAATGGCTGTCACAGCTCCAGGCATTAAGTCCACATTAAAGGCAGGAAGAAGTGAGGGTGGGTGTTCTAATCGCGTTTATTTCTTTTGTTAGGAAAGCAAAAGCTTTCCCAAACCCATTTCTTTTCTATTTCCTCGGTCCTAATTGTGTCATATATACTACACTAACTGCAAAGGACGCTTGGAAAGCAAGTGCCTAGCCTTTCTAACATCTTTAATAGAGAAAGGTAAGAAAGAAGGGTTGGAATTGGTTGTAGGTTTAGCTAAGAGATGATATTTTCCAAGGTCAAAAGTAGAAGGGACCATTAAGACCCCCACTCCACTTCTTACAAATGAAGAAACCAAAACTAAAGTTTAAAGTTTAGTTTCATTGAACTGAAACAAAAATCCATTGACTTTCCCAGGGTCACATAGCTCCTAAGTCACGGAACTGGAGCCAGACCACCTGATTCTCAATTCAGCACTTTCCTCACTACACACTACAATGTGTACATTGTCATGGAGGCCTTTTAATTAATTACCTTCCAGATAAAAATGAAGTGGACACCACCCATCTTACCTGGAAGAAAATTAGTGGCCCTTAAGTAGTGATTGGACTCAGTTCTTGGGTCTCTAAACTTCACCTTGCTAAGGTTGCCTCACTCTAAGCCACGCTGTTGGGACTGTCCCTGCTGTATATCTCTGAGAGTGATCAGTGTTTGGTAGGGCCTACCTGGGTGCTGATCAACAGCTGCGCAAAGATAGCACACGCTGCCACCACCAACACAGGTGTGAATATATTTTCAATTTTTTTTTTTAATGAAGAAAGGGACCTAGGAAGACAAAAGTGCTTTAGGTAACAAAAGGCACAATGGGGCCCACATAGAATTAGGATCAGAATTTAGGTCTGCCTGGTTTTTCAAGCTAGCATGCTTTTCCTAACACAAGCTAATCTGTATTTCTTAGCCAAAGAGGAGGTTTTCTTTCTCTGAATACTTTAATTTATTTCTCCCTTTCGCTCTCTTTTTACATCCTTAAGTAATAACAACAACAATAACAAAGCATCCTTGGGGATTTGATGTGAAATATTCACCCACGTGCCTATTTTGTGCCTAGTTTAGAACTGCAGGCACAGCTGAGATGTCTTTACATCTTTAGTCTCTCTTGTTCTTAGAAACCATTTCTGTCCTCTCATTTGCAGTTCAAGATCATCTCTGCCTCCACTACTGATCTCATACCAACTCTAGAAGAATATAAGATTCTGTTTCAGCCGACCTTGTGAATTGTCAACTCTTTGACCTTATTTTCTTTGAATGATTTATTTTATAAGGGCTTTCCTTTTGATTTGCCAGCAGTACAAGAACAACTAGCAGCCACTCCCCATTCTTAGTGTTTTTATAGCCTTAAAAGGGCTGATTTGAGAAATAGTTTGACTCTCAAGGAAAGTTACCTGATCAAGGTCACAGTCTTTATTACACTTCCGAGCTAAGGTGTGGCCTTGGTTTCAAAGAACAGTCAAGTGAAAATGTCATTAGACGGAAACCCAGGCCTGGACTAATTGGTTCTTACACTTAAAAAATATTAGAGTTGGTAGGGACTTTAGGAAATATCTAGTCACACCCATTGTTTTATAGTGGAGGAAACTGAGGCTCTGGGAGGAAAAAAAGACGTAAATTCTCACGGCTAGTGAGGACAGAGCTGGGGACCCTCCTACCTCCAGTTCAGCTACTGCCCCCCTTCCACACCATTCAACACACACTGGAGGGCCTCCTCTGTCCCCCGTGGTGAACACACAGAAGATCCAGATGCGGTCAGCTCCGCAGAGCCGTGTGGTGGCGAGCCCTACTGGGGTATGCTCAGGGGCTGTGGGTGTGACAGGAGATTACATTTAGCGTGTCTGGAAGGATGAGGAAGAGTTCTCCTAGTAGACAGGGAGGAAGGACAGTTTCAAGTTGTAAAATTTCAAGTTATTGGGCATTTTTTAGTGGAGGAGGTAGGACTGAATTATTAAAGAGTTAAGGATAAAGGCTTTGGATTCCTACCAGCTTGGGTTCCTGTGACTCATACCTGTGTGACCTCAGGCAATTTACTTCCTCTTTCCCATCCTTGGTTTCCCCCTTATAAAATGGGGATGATACTTGTACCAACATCATCAGATTGAAAAGAGGGTTGCATAGAATCATGAGTCCAGAATACTCAGCACAGTACTGGGCACACAGAAAGCACCCAGTGCTTCTTAGCTGTTGATGGTTGTCCCCTGACCCTCCCTGCACTGGACATTTCTTTGCATTATCTAAACTGGAGCCCCCATCTTCCACTCCCAGGGTGTTTGGTCCAGGAGAGAAGACCACGTTCTCCACACCCACAGAGGAATCAAGCCTGCAGCTCTTCTTTCTAAATGCTATGTCCCAGAATGCTTGCCTTATTGGTTTGAGGAAGTCTGAGGTTAAAAAGAAAGTGCTCTGTCATTCTGTACAGGACAGTAGCAGTAATAGTTGGTGTTTGTGCAGCACTAATTATAGCTTACAACACGTCTTCATGTACATGGTTTGTTTGATCCTCAAAACAACCCTGTGAGATACAGCTATCACTTCGATCTTCTGTCTGAGGGAAGTGATCTGGAGAGACTGAGAGACTTCCTCAGGTGTCATCACGTTCAGATTTGGGATTCCAGGTTGGGCCTTTCATAGCCAGTCAGGCCCCAGTTGGAAAGCCAGGATTTAATCTCTTTGTCTGGAAGATCCCCAAGCTCCTGTTTGCTGAAGGTCTTCTTAGCATTGAATTCCAGGATACAGAATTTCCTTTTGCTGCTCCCTTTTTCTGAAGGAAGAATTGTTTCATTTCTACCCAGGGGGATTTTCAGAAAGTAATTTTTTTGGCTCAGTTAATATTTATTGGGAGTTCACAGGGCTCGTGTTTCCCTAGCAGATATCATGGAGCTGCAGGAGATAGTGGGGGCAAGGTCACTGCTTCTAGTCCTCATTATCTTGTCTAGACAAGATAAACATCCACACATAGGTAAGTATTTAGGAAGTTAGGGATTTACAAAGTAAGGAATGAACTAAAAAATGTACCCATTCAGGAGGTGGATGGAGACAGCCGCTATCCTGGTCATCCTGCCATCCTGAATTTAACTGTTTCCTGATATTTTTTAAATCGAGACTCTAAAAAGCATGATCCTTTAATAGTTTGAAGTCCCTCATTAAAAGACCTAGGTGAATTATATCTCAATAAAACTGGAAGAAAAAAATCTTTTAAAGATACAGAAAGACCTAGGAGATAATCCTTCCGAACTGTGAGCTCTGAGAGGCAGGTCCACATGTCCCTTCACTTTCTGTCTTCAGCTTCCAATATTGTGCTTCATTGAACTTTTCAAAGTTCTCTTAGATTTTTCTCATCTTTTCTTTCCATTCTTACATGCTATTCCAAATGGTGGTGGCTCGGCCATCTTTGTCTAATCCCTCCATGGTATCGGGATGAAGTTACAGGATATTCGGGTGACCTTTCTCTCCGGAAGCCCTGTTTCAAGGCACAAGGGGAGTTTGTGACTCTGACTCGAGCTCAGTTTGATCATCCTCAACTCGACCACGTGAACTCTAACTGGGAGGGCTTGCATGACGACTGAGAAGTTTCCCTCAACCTTGTCTTGTTCTAGGTTCCTATGCGGGGGCCGTGATTGCCATGCCGCTGGCCGGGGTGTTGGTACAGTACATTGGATGGGCCTCTGTCTTTTATATTTATGGTGAGTGATTTGATTTCATGAGTTCCCCTGGGTGACTAGAAGAGATGGTATTTTACTGCATAAAGGGATTGGCTAGGAGTTTATTGTAGGAAAAGCGAGATTATTAAGGCAAGCTTATTGTATAAATGAAATACTTGTCTAACTATGATTCATTTAATGTTTATATTAAAGTTGAATGTCTGAATGAGCAGAACATTATCTTTCTTTAAATACCAGTTAATAACAACAACAATAGGAAAATCAACCAAATACTTTCTCGTAGCTGAACATAGTGCCGTTTGAGAATACTTTGAAATTTGAAAAATTTAGAGATGGAAGAAAATGAGATCCTATCATCAAGCCTTTTGTTTTTTAACTGCAGGTATGTTTGGGGTTATTTGGTACATGTTTTGGCTGTTGCAGGCCTATGAGTGCCCGGCGGCTCATCCAACAATATCCCGTGAGGAGAGGACCTATATAGAGACAAGTATAGGAGAAGGAGCCAACTTGGCTAGCCTCAGTGTAAGTAGACACGGATAGATGAAGACTTGCCTCTTTTCTATGAATATTTCTCTCAGTGATTATGTTCTCCTCTCAAGAAAAATGATATGTCAGTATATTCACTGAAAATCTCATGGTATTTTTACTCTCTAGAAATTTAATACACCATGGAGAAGATTTTTCACATCGTTGCCAGTTTATGCAATCATTGTGGCAAATTTTTGCAGAAGCTGGACCTTTTATTTGCTGTTAATAAGTCAACCTGCTTATTTTGAAGAGGTCTTTGGGTTTGCAATAAGTAAGGTAAACACACAGAGCTTCAAATGTTCTTGGACTTTAAATCTCTTGCTTCTACTGAGGAAATCTTTGCATGATAAAATAATGAAATTACTGATCATAATTCATAACACCTATTCTGTGACACCTAATACACTGGAGCCCAGACAAGTTATACATTCTCTGCACAATATATGTAGCTATTTAATTTCTTCTTAGTAAGGATCAGAGCTGTATTAAGCTGTTTTTAAAGATTTATGTTCTACCCCATCTCAAAGTGTTTTTGAAACTGATTCAAGGACAACATAGTAGGCAAGGATCAAAAGATTTCAGAGTGAGAGGTTTTTTTCTTCCTATAAATTATTCAGAGGGGAGCAGTAAGAACTTTAAAGCTCATTTTGCAGGTCACTCCTCTGTCCATAATGACGATTATAGCAGTAACGACCAGTGCTTTGTATGATTTGGAAAGAACCTTTTTCAGTGTCTCCAGGCATTACCATTAGGTTGTCTTTGTTTCAGGGAGGAAGAGTGTGGATGGCAAAATGTAAACTCTCATTGTGAAAGAATTAAGCCTCTTTCCCACAAGGGAAAGAATGGCAGCCTAGTAAACATACATGTCTGCACAGCTATAGGTGAAAGTGACCATGGAAGAGCCAAGTCATAGTGATGCCATCAGAGAGCTCACTCTGTGCTGAGTGTCTGACTACCATGTACCAGGCACTATGCTGGGTGCTGGGGGTTCTGTAAGGAATAAAAGTCATCCCTGCCCTCAAAGTCTGGTGGAGGAGCCAGTTAGGTCTATCCTTAAAACCATTCATTCATTCACTGTTTATTTATTACAAAATTCAGGCCTATCTTGATCTCTTGTAGTTAGATGATTAAACTTGGTGGTGGGGGTGGTGTGGTAGAGATGGTGGGGACAGGGAATTAGGGAAATACAGCTTTCAGAAGTAGCTAAAAATAGCTGACTGTTTCTTCTCCTGCCAGGTGGGTCTCTTGTCAGCAGTCCCACACATGGTTATGACAATCATTGTGCCCATCGGAGGACAATTGGCTGATTATTTAAGGAGCAGAAAAATTTTGACCACAACTGCTGTCAGAAAAATCATGAACTGTGGAGGTACTGTGGAATTTCACGGGTGGCTCAAGCAGCTTTTGCAGAATGAGATGAAGCTGAACTGCAGACCATATTTTGGAGATTATGTCTAATCCCTGGGAAGGCTCCTACAAGCCTCTCAGCCCCTTCCCCAGCAGATACCTGAGTGTCCATCACACCCCTGCCTAGTGGTCATCCAGCCTGAACCTGCGCATCCTGAGATGTGACAACTTAGTTGATACATCAGCGCACACTGGCAGCTGCAGAAACCCTTCTTTCATCCACTCTTAAGCCGAAGCAGCACAATTTCCTGTCACATACCTGTTTATTTATCTTTTCCATACATCCTTCCACATTCATAATCCTTTACTTTTATAGTTATTCCTTTATCTCCTTCTTCCCTTTCTACATGTACACATGTTTTGGTAAGAAACATAAGTATTTTTTCTGAATAGTCTTTTTCCCACCCCACATATGCTTGTGTATGGGGTGTGTACACACACACACACACACACACACTCCATCCTCTTTCTTGTTTTATTTAGTTTCTGTTTGATGTTTTGATTTTGCAAAGACAAAATGGAAGTTGGGTGATTTTCCAAAAGCGGTAGGTAAAAGTAATCATGAACCCCTACGATGCTTACGACTGCTCACCTTTTTAAAACCCTACACTGTCTCCTTATCTCTTTTGTTTGACTTTTAAAATGGGCATTTACTGAATGCTTTCTGTGCCTGATACTAAGTTCTTTACACGTATTATTTTAGTTAATCCTCATAACTACGTAACTGTGGAGCAAGTCCTATTATTAAACCCAAGTTACAGTGATGAAACTGGGGTAAAGTGACTTGCTCAAGTGGCATATCCTGTGCAAGACCCCAGGTTTCTGTCTGAGCTCAGGGCGGATGCTTACAGTCACTGTGGCAAAAGGGACTGGGGGTCAGGGTGGGGAGGTGAGAGGCAGAGGACAGTGTCACCTATGGGCTGAAGGTCATAACTGGGATCCTAAGTTTAAAAGTGGGAATGGGGGCACTGTGACTCTAGATTAGATGGGTGAGGGCCCTTTAGAAGTGAAGGTCATATGGAGGAACACAAGAGCAGCATGATCTGATCCCACAGAATCTCAGGAGTGAAATCTGATCAGAGAGACTGGGAATAATCTGTCAGCATCTGGTCTCCCAGCAGTTTGATTGCTGGTCCCAAGCAGGGACCTGGGGACCTACCCTTGTCTTGAATTTGTCTGTAGGAAACTGAGGGTTGGCGGGTGTGGGCTTGCTCTCTGATGGGCTTCTGGAGCACTGCATTCAGGATCTTCCCTAAAGTAGCTGAGGGAGGCAGAATAACAGCCCCCTCAAAAATGTCTGTGTCCTAATTCCCAGAATTTATTAATGTATTTCCCTACACAGCAGAAGGAACTTAGCAGATGTGGTTCGATTAAAGTTCTTGAGATGGAGAGGTTGTTTTGGGTTATCTGTGTGTGCTTAATATAATTACAACAGGCCTTGTAGAGGAGGCAGGAGGGTCAGAGTCAGAAATGGAGAGGTGACAGCAGAGGAAAAGGTCAAAGTGATGCAGCCACAAGCCAAGGAATGCAAGCAGACTCTAGAAGCTCAAAAAGCAAGAAAAGAGTTTCCCCAGAGCCTCCAAAAGAAATGTGGCTCTGCTGACACCCAGATTTTAGCTCTGTAGACTTCTGACCTCTAGCAGTGCACAATAATAAATTTGTATAGTTTTAAGTCACTAAGTTTGTGGTAATTTGTTATTACCACAGAAACTTACATAGTAGCCAAAGTACCACTCCTCTAACTATCAGATTCTGCTCCAGCTGAATAGCTCTCCGTACCAGGCCCTGAATATATCTTTCTGTCTCTGACTTTGCTCACTCTCTTTCCCTTTACTGTGAGTTCTGCTCACCATCACTTTTCACCACAGTCCTGCCCACACATCCTACTGCATCAGCTCAGGTCTTTTTTTTTCTGTGTTTTGTTAAGGCTACGTCAGCCTCCAGTGATTGCTCCTTCCTATCCATACACTTGGTTGGCAACTTATCATCTACTTCCTTTTTACAGCTCTTGCAGGAAAGTGATTGAGACAGTGGGAATCTCATGTGCAATGGCCCTGAGGTGGGCATGAGTGTGGTGTGTTAGAGAACAGAAGGAAGGAAGTTCGGGATGGTCGGAGCTTAGTGAGTGAGATGGACAGACAGGATCAGAATACACAGCTGGGGCCAGATCATGGGAGGCCTTATAGACAGATATATGCAGAGCTTGGATTTTATTTGAAATGAACTGGGGAGCAAATCAAAGGTTTAAAGGAGGAAAAGGGACATGATCTGATTTATGTTTTCAAATCTAAATAGTAGAACGTAGAACACAAGAGTAAAAGAAGGGAGATCAGATAAGGGGCTATTTCCATCATTCTGTCAAGAGAAGATGGTAGACTGAACCAAAGTCAAGTCAATGGCAGTGGAGAGAGTGGATGGATTTCTAAATTCTATGACTTACTTTCTTCTTCTTTAAATTATGGATAATAATATTTACCTCAGATAAGGGTTAAATGAGACAATGTATAAATGCACCTAGCATAGGTCCAACATATAGAAGGTTCTTGATGAGATATGTTAATGCCTTTTTCTTCTCTTGTCTTCAAGACATTGACAAACAGAAGTTTTCCAAAGGAGGCATTCAATAAATGTCTGCTACTCAATCACATTTCCTATGACCAAAAATATGCAACCTCTAAACCTAGAACTTGAAAGAAAATTCTGGGTTTAAACTCTACTTGTAAAACCTCCTCTAAAAACAGATGCCTTGAAGACCCTAAGTACATTTGTATAGGAATGTCTTGTTCATGTTGAATTTTGCCCCAATCACCTTTGCCATTGTTTCTTCATAATTGGTAGTCTGGGTGGTGGGTGGTGGTGGTAACGCTCAAAGGTTTTTAAGTGCTAACAGAGTGCTCACTGAGAATAAATATATATTATTTTTTTTTAGAAACCAGAATGCCCCAGTCACTACCCCCATCTTAAAAAACAAAAACATAAAAAACCTCTTCACATGTCTATTCATGTCATTTAATACTTTGATGCAGTAGAACCAGTGAGATCTACATAGAGAATTTAAAACCAATGACCATGCTTGTCCCACTTTGCTTAAACACAGAGATGCTATAGAGGTAAAGACAGAGTTTTATGCTGTCACTGAATAAGCCAGATTGATTTGTATACAGTGAAGCACTTGCATGATTTTCTAGAGAATTTTAGTTTTTCCTATTTTCTAAGTTGAAATATAGAAGACATTTATCATCTGAGAAAGATCACACATTTCTTGGAGTCTGCCACCTCCTTCTTTTCTTTCCATAGGCAAGAGGTATTGCTGCTAGAATCATTTAAAGAAAACAGATCACCTTAAGACATGATGCTATTCTAGTTCATTCTAAATCAGGGCACATTTCCAGAGTCCTCAAAGACATCAAATCTTGTTCCTCCCTCTATATACACAGAAAGTATGGCCAAAGTCTGAAAGTCTAGTCTGGCTTAATTTGTTGCCTATGTGAACTTCAGGATGTTTCAATATGAAATGAAAAATATTTCTCAGGCCTTTCCATCCTAGTTCTGTTTCTCTTCTCAGCTCCGAATAGGTTCACTTTCCAGGATCTCTTGATAACCCCTGAAATTCAAATTTTATCCTTTGGTGACTGAAGCATACAGTCCTATCTGTAGCATTTTCACTGTAGATGGACCCATTTAGGCTCTTAAATGTTTTTTCTTTCTTTGAAAATCTACTATTTGGCAAAGATTTTTATTTTAATAGATGAACTAATGTATCACTTGTAAATTTTCTTCTTGCAACATCTTTATTCTACTTCTTTGGGAAATTATCTTTCTGGTACCACTTTGTTGAGAATGTTAAGATAAAGGAAGTTTCAGCCATGTGCCTTGTTAAGACAGACCCCTTCTAAAACACAAATAGTATACAAAACACTAGCAGTTTTTCCCTATGTATAATTTAAATTGTCAAAACAAAATTAATAACAAGGAGCAATGGTATATAGCCCATAATTTAAAAAGCATCTCTGCACCCATAATTTCACTGATCTTTAGATAACTATCTAAAACAATTATTGCTTCTTGCCCTATTTCTATGACAGTTTTGAAGAAATGGACTCAGAAAGATAATTAACTTACCAAGGTTTACAAAAAGTGCTTTAGCTTGTAGTTCAACTTAATTATCTTGGTTTCCTTTCTTTCCTTTGTATCAATTCATCAAGCATCATTTATCAAGTGCCCACTACATACTAGCCAGGCTCTGTACTAGATACCAGGTACCTTCCCTGGATAATATCCCAGTTTTGTGTGGAAGGCAGAAACACAAATGGAAAATTACAAGGCAATGAAAAAGAAAGATGCCAACTTCACTGATGGGTGAGGGGCAGGGTTTTCAGGAAAGCTTCCTAGAGGAAGCAATATCTAAACTGGACTTTAAAGGATAGTAAGATTTCTCCAGAAAAGAGAAGTTGTGGGAGAAGAGTATCACAGGTGAAGGAACAGCCTGTGAACATACATTGTGGGTATAAAACAGTGTTGTGATTAGGAAATAGCTGATAGAGCTGTGTGACAACAGAGGCCTTTCTGTGGGCTACAGGTGGTGAGCAGGGAGGTGAGGTTGGCAGAAGATGGAACTGGAACAGCAGGGGTGGATTTACTGTACAACTCTGTACTGATCATGCAGATCTGTTGACAAGGGTTTTAAGCAAAGGGGCAACCGCTCAGATTTGTGGTGAACTTCTGAAAGGGAAGAGTTTGCCTTATGCTTTACAAGTGGTGAGGCTCTGCTTTTTGTTTCAGATACTCACTACAGCTTTCTGGTCATTTTAGGCAATAAAAGAGTGTTGTCATTTTCTTTTTCTGTGAGAGACCATAACTTATGCAATCAAAGGAGAATCATTGATGGTTTTAGTATTTAGAAATAGCAGGGGGAGCTACCCATGAACATCCTACGGGCATCATTGCACCATGATTGGACCATTCAGTGTTCAAGGTGCACCAGGAAAATGTTGGGAGGCTCCCAGAACACCTGAGTAATATCAGCATCGTCATATAGTCAAGAAACACCCTAATAAGATTGTAAACATTGTGCCAGAATGTATGTATGAAAAACTTGGGTCCATGAAAATGGAAAGATTTTTTATTTTATAAATTCAAGAACTTGGGTTGACTGACATGAAAATGACATTTTTCCCGCTGCTGTTTCCATTCGCAGGTTTTGGCATGGAGGCAACCTTACTCCTGGTGGTTGGCTTTTCCCATACCAAAGGGGTAGCGATCTCCTTTCTGGTGCTTGCCGTAGGATTTAGTGGTTTTGCTATTTCAGGTAAAGTGTCCTTTGGGTTTACAAATCTTTTCTATTGATCCAGCAAGATTTGGGAGAAAGGAAGGAAAAAGATACTGTAGCAACTTCCTTTGATTGCCGGGCCATTCCCAAGGATCAGAGCCACTGGCTAAAGACTTTCATTTCGTGGGGATGACTTTGTAAGATCACTGAGGACTGGGCTTAGGAGCCCAGTCAAGCTGGAGTTGTCCCTACTTTCTCCATCGTGGAAAAAGACAAAGTGCAGGGGACCCCTCTGAGGTGTGGACAGAGCATGTGTCGCTGGGTGAAGTGGCACTTTCATACATCAACACCAGGTCACCCTGTGTAACAGATACTCTTGTGACGTTTTCACCCCTCACCTTCTACTGGAGAACTGCTACTATTAGCTCAAATATCAAAGGATGTAGTCATTTGACATATAGTCATAGAATTAGAAGTTTTTAAGGGTGGAAATGTTCTTTAGATTTTTGTCTACTCCATGGTTTTCATTTTCCAAACAAGGAAATACAGGTGGAGAAAGAAGTGACTTTCTGAAGAGACTAGACCAGGAAGTAGGAATAATAATGGTGATAAGAGTTCACATTGATCATGCACGAATTCTGTACTGGGGACTGTTCAAAGCCCTCTTTGTATATTAACCTCTGTAGTTCTCACAGGTACCCTAGAGCAGAACCCAGGTAATATCATTATTTTACTTAGGAAGAACTTAAAACAAGAAAAACTGGGTACTTTTCTATCATCACACAACTGGTGGCAAAGGAAGAATTAAATTGCAGTCCTGCCTGGCTCCATGCCTCTGCTCTTTCCACAATTCTGGGCTATTTTAAAGATTAAACAGAGTGGAAACATCCCAGAACAGAAAAACATGAAACCTCTGGTCTGAACCACCCTAAAATTGGGGCTTGGTCTTATCAAAATACAGTTGGCTGTTGAACAGCTTGGGGGTTGGGGTGCTGACCCTCTGCACAGTCAAAAATCTGCCTCTAATTGGAATTGGCCCTCTGTATAAGATGTTCCTCCACATCCTCAGTTTTGCTGTATCCATGATTTTGCATCTGAAGATTCGGTCAGCCACAGATCGTGTAGTAATGTAGTATTTACTACTGAAAAAAAAAAACCCACCTGTAAATGGGCCTATGCAGTTCAAACCCACTTTGTTCTAGGGTCAACTGTAAACAGGGCTCAGAAACAGTTAAATTAGGAAAAACAAGTCTACATTAAAAGTAGCTTGCAGATTTATTTACAATAGCCAAGACATGGAAACAACCTAAATGTCCACCAACAGATGACTGGATAAAGAAGCTGTGGTATATTTATAAAATGGAATACTACTCAACCATAAAAAACAGTAACAAAATGCCATTTGCAGCAACATGGATGGACCTGGAGATCATCATTCTAAGTGAAGTAAACCAGAAAGAGAAAGAAAAATACCATGTGATATCATTTATATGTGGAATCTAAAAAGAAAAAAGAAGACACAAATGAACTTATTTATAAAACAGAAACAGACTCACAGACATTTAGAGAACAAACTTATGGTTACCAGTGGGGAAAGGGTCTGGGAAGGGATAAATTGGAAGTTTGAGATTTGCAGATACTAACTACTACATGTAAAATAGATAAACAACGAGTTTCTACTATACAGCACAGGTAACTATATTCAATATTTTATAGTAACCTATACTGAAGGCCTTAGCCCAGTGCCAGATACATAAAAAATTATTAAGTATTCATTGTTGTTGTTCAATTTTTATTCAACCTAGTCCAGTGCTTCCCCAAATATAATGTGCATTCAAATCACCTTAGGATCTTGCAAAATGCAGATTCTGATTTAGCAGGTCCAGAGTGGGGCCTGAGGTTCTGCATTTCTCACAAGCTCCCCAGTGATGTCAGTGCTGCTGTTTAATGGTCCACCCTTTGAGTAGCAAGGTTAGAGCAGTCAGGACTCGTCTCCAGGAGGATGGTAGGGAACACCTTCCTTTGACAGTTCTGTGGTGTAAAAAAGATTCATATCTTGTGCCCAGAGACACTGAAATATTCAGGCTCATATTGTCCCCATGTTGCCAATTAAGCCACAGTCTGAAGGAGAGAATCTCAATAGCCCAAATCACAGCAGCTGCCTTTTTTTTTTCCCAGCACTTACTCCATGCTAGCCACTTTTTAGATACAATCTCATTTTATCCCTGTAGCAGCCCGATGAGAAGGGCATTGCTATGTTCACTTTACCAGTGAGGACACAGGTAACTCATCCAGGTATATTAAGTGGCTGAGATTGGAATAAAGGATTGTCTGACCCAACAGTGAGACTATCAGAGGGAATATGGTCGTGGAGATAATGATTCCTCAGGATTTACTATCTGCCAACTTTATAAGGAGTTGATAGGGATGTCAGGGAAGACTTGCTCAATTTAGGAACTGATTATAGACAAGAGAGCCATGACAGGTGAGATTAGAAAGATAAAAGGGATGGGTGATGCCTGCTTTAGAAAATGTCCTGTGTAGAGAAGACAGACTCTTCCAAGTTGTGTGCAACCTTTTTGTGTGTGTCTACTTCAGAAAAAAAAAACAACTATACATATCTCAGTTTCTCAATGATTTTCCCCCCAAACGCCAGGACTGTGCAGCTAGAGATGTAAATGACTTTTCTCACGTTATCTTTAGCTGAACGCAGATGCCTCGGCTTTGTAACAGAATAGAATACTTGACAATCATATTAATTGCTTCTTATCTTTAGGTTCTTTTCTAATAAAGTGTTTATCGCATTCAAATCAACAGTGAGATTAATTAATCTTGCAGCTGTTCTGTATTCTGATTTTCTGCCCCTTTGATCTGAAAGAGAAGGTATGTTTATTCCAGGAAGGTTTTCTCAAAATTCTCTGATTAAAGATGGGAAAAAAAAAAAAACCAACCAGCCAATGGGCCAGATTAGAAAAACATTTTTTAAAAAATTCTATTTTCAGGTTCTTTGCACAGAACAGAGAATTAAAAAGTAAGACAAAAGAAACAAAAATATGAATAAACAAAGACTACAACCCCCTGCTGTAATTTCAGAGCTTAAGTTGATAAATAATTAAACAGTTATTTATTGAGTGCATACTATGTGCCACCAGACCCTTTGCCAGATCAGGAAAGCTAGTGGTAAACAAGACGGATAACCACCAGAAACTGACACAACATTATAAACTGACTATACTTCAATAAAAATATATTTAAAAAATAAAATAAAAGATGGATGGGTAACCAACAAACAGTAAAGAGCATCTGTGTACCCATGTAATTAACATATGTTACTTAACTTAATTCTTACAATAATTTTATAATAACGATTATCCCAGTTTATAGATGAAGCTGAGGTTCGAAAAGTTTAAATCCTTTGTCCAGGTTTGCGTCTCAGCTAAGCTGCTGGAGTCGAGGTCTGTCTGACTCTAAACTGCACTCCTGGGCAATACTGGTCCCCAGTGCCTGGTGCCCCCTCTTTCATGGCCTTGTCCTTCCCCTGCCTTCCCATGTCCTCCTTCATTCCACTCATTCTTTTCTTCTGATAAAGAGATTAACAGTGAGGTGTTGGTGACATTATTTGACCACTCCCAGCAGTGTTATCTCTTGATAGAAGACCTCAAAGAGGGACGTGCTCAGCAGCAGCGGCAACAGCAGGGATAGGCTGGTGTTAGTAGTCCTGACAGTAGAGCTTAGCTGTTTGCCAAGAGGTCTTGCGTCCATATTTCCAGAGTCTCATCTCACAGCATCTTTATGAGTTAAGTAGTAACTTTACCCCCAAGTTAGAGTTGAGGAGACATTGTCCCAAAAATGACTTGTTTAAGAGGTGGGAATAAGATTCAAATCCAGATTTACAGACTCCAAAGCAAGTATGTTTGTGAAAGTGTTTTGTAAATTACAGAGGCTCTTGCCAATGTTTGTGTAAATCTTTATTGTCAAAAAAGAATCCTTCCCTTTGTGCCGTGTGGCTGCTAGGGCGGGCCTTTTGGGTGTGAGCTGAGAGTGAGGAGGGAGGGTATTATGAGGCAGGGTTTGGTTGTAATCACACTATATGTGATTGTGTGATTGTTTACTCTGAATAAATATCATCCAGGCTTTGGGCATTTCAGTACTGCCCCAGACGGCATTATTTTGTAGTTTTGAACCTAAAAGTTACAGGTGCTGTAATTCTCCCCATGGAAAACCCATGGTAGTCACTGCTGATTAATAACAGCATGTTTTTTTGCTGTGCCGACACCGCCTGACAATCCTCAACCCAGCCCTTTTGGTAAAGGTATCCAGTAGTTATATGTAGTACGTATAGATTGATGAGAGTTGAGGAAAGCTAAGTATTTTCCAAAATGTATTTGGAATTCTGTACTTGAGTCTGATTTTGAGGTTTTTGGCTTCACTCTAGGTTTTAATGTCAACCACCTGGACATTGCTCCCCGCTACGCCAGCATTCTCATGGGTATCTCAAACGGAGTGGGAACCCTCTCTGGAATGGTCTGTCCCCTCATTGTGGGTGCAATGACCAAGCACAAGGTAATGGTTTCCTTTGGGGCTGTGGGTTACAATCTCAGAGGACTGAAGTACTGCATAAACTCTCAAGGCCCTACCCCAGCCTGTGTAAATGTGTATGTCCTTGACTTGGCTGAGTCATTTGAACTTTTTTTTTTAAGTTTATTTCTTCTTCTTCTTCTTTTTTTTTTTAATTATTGTTTATTGATGGCAACAGGACTGATTAATGTTTTGTTCTGTTTCCTCAACTGAGAAATGAAAGGTGTATGTGTGTGTGTATGTGTATGTGCGGAGGGGAGGTGTGAATACCATAAAGACACAAAGCTGAGAGACACAAGAAGAAACTGAAGCAGTCAACTTAAGATCAATAAATTACCCAAGATTGTTTTATAATTCTCAGTAATTAAACTTTATAGCCCATCTCCATCTATTGCTTTGCTCATTCCAGTATGAAAATATTAGTGCTATTATACTTCCTTATTATGACAAAAATAAACAAGACATTAATGACCCTTTCGTAGAACCCACGAGGGTGTGGCACTAGGCTGTTGCTGAACCTTTGTGTATTTAGACTAGGGTGGATGGTAGAGGTGGATCCCAGATCCATCCAGAGTCCAGCCACAGGCCACATGGTTTCATCTCTGTCTTTAAAACGGTTTTAGATGCTGCTTTCTGCAAATACAAAATTTTGATACTATGGAGATTTTACCCAAATATTTTTTTGGTTGGATTGTCTATTACAAATATGACTTCAGAAATTCTTTCAGCTTCTTGGAGAAGGAAATGTGGGATAACTTTTTTTATTTTTTTAATAGAAAAGGAAAGCGGGCTTTGGGGATTTTATAGGTTGAGGATTCATGGTTTCTGTCTCTATTCGTAGGATTGGTAACATGATTATTAAATCTCAGATGCTTTCTGCTCCTAGCTTTAAGCACAAATTACCATTATTTATTGATATAGTATATTTTCTCAGAAAATATAATGATAAATAAGCCATTGACAGTCAAGACTGAGCATTTTCATGGCTCATATTGTTATGTATCCAACAGCAAGCAAGAGGGAGACCTCTAATTAAAATGGTGGGTTCCTAAAGTGAGTTTAATTTAACTTGTTATGTGAATGGAAATTCCACCTGTGTATTTAGAAGAGCTGTGAAATGGTGCCCCAAGGATTTTACATGATGTTTTTTTTTGTAAAGTATATTTTTCTAAATTAAAAAATGCATATTCATTTTAGTCTGAAGTTTCATTTTGAAACACTCAGATTCCATTTGGATACTGGGCACGCTTCTGACACATGTCTTCCCAAGAAGCACAGACTGTCTTTGGGGCAAACAAGTGCTTTTGTCCCACTGGGGGCCTCCGGAACATACTGTTAATCTCTGTTTTTGGTTAACACGTTAATCCGTCACGTGTTTCCTTGTTTAGACCCGCGAGGAATGGCAGAATGTGTTCCTCATAGCTGCCCTGGTGCACTACAGTGGCGTGATCTTCTATGGGGTCTTTGCTTCTGGGGAGAAACAGGAGTGGGCTGACCCCGAGAACCTCTCTGAGGAGAAGTGTGGAATCATCGATCAAGATGAATTAGCTGAGGAGATAGAACTTAGCCATGAGACTTCTGCAAGTCCCAAAAAGAAGATGTCATATGGAGCCACCATCCAGAATTGTGATGTCCAGAGGAAGGAGTGGAGAGGACAGAGAGGAGTGACCCTTGATGCAGAAGAGCTGACATCCTACCAGAACGAAGAGGGAAACTTCTCAGATACATCCTAATGTTTGAGAGGCACTTCTGTCTTCTCCCCTCTTTAGAACCAGATAGTATCCATACCTATTGCCTTCTCCATAGCCAGGCTTGCCAGAGGGTCATCTACAGGGACACTGGATGTGGGGGAGCAGAGAGAGGAAATTTAATCTGTAGTAGGGAAAAGATAAATATTATCTCGCAGTGACAACTTGCTCTCAGTTGACAGAATGGATGTGGGTATTATGTATATATAGATATAAATAATTTTTTTGATTGACAGTTGACTCTTCTCTCAAAGAACTAAACTTATTCAGGAAGGAATGATTAGAAGAATAAGAGAGACAATGCTATGTTTTTCAAAGAAAAATGGAAGGAAATGGGGCTATTTGCCCTGGAGGAGACAGAACAATAGCCACTACTGACTCTGAGAGCAGCCACACGGAGGGGGGTTTTCTGTTCCTAGTAGAGGCCACCACTTACGAACACCCTGCATCGTGCCAGGTGCTTTATGACATTCTCATTTAATCTCCACACCCCTATGACATACATTACTTATCCCCATTTTATAACTAAGGAAACAAAAGCAACTAGAGACTGACTTGCCCAAGGTCATCCTGCCAGGGACAGTGCCGAGACTGGTGGAGTCCAAAATAAGTGGCAGTTTTGGAGAAGATGGTTTCACTTTAGGTTGAAGAAAATATTTGCAATAATTAAAACTGAAAATGGAGTGGGTTGTTGCGTAGATAATACCATATTTCGGCAGGCATGAGGGATGGAAAACTTTTGGGTTGATGTGGCAGAGAACATTCAAACATTGTATAAGGGTCTGGATTCAAAGACCCTTAGGGCCCTAAGAGAGCTAAAGAGTCAAATGATCCTGTGAATTCACAGTTTTTCAAATAAAAAGGATCACAAATTTTATGAGAGTTTCAAATAGGTTTAAAACAAAAAGGAAAAGAAAATGCTAAGCAAGATCGCAAATTCCCAGGAATCTGATGGTCAGAATGGCTGAGAAGAAGTAAATTAAATTTCAACCCTTTGTAATATAAAGAATGTGGTTAAGTAATATCCCAAATTACTTATAAATCTTTAAGACATTTAGTAATTTAAGAAGTCAGTTCGTGCAGTTTATTACGTAAAATTATCTTGAGTCTTTTTTTTTTAAATGTATGCCTTTAGCCATTTCTGCTGGTGATATTAGGAAGTTTGATCAAATTATACAAAGTTATAATTGAAGTATTCCTAATGACTGTATTTGGAATGATATCAGGGAAATCACAATAATAATATAGCAGTAACTGAACAGTGAAATACTAGAATGTAAACATCTGGGGCAACTAGACCCATAGTTAGTGTTGAAGAATTAATCTTTGATTGCATAACGCAATAACATGGATACTCTCTAGATATGTTTTAATGTTTAATACTATTTTAAAACTTAAAATTGGCATGTAAAATGTTGTTAAAAATAAAATAATTTTCCTGTTATTATTTTTGAAAAGTTTATTTCTACTTTCAGAAGAAAAATATAATATTGCAGAAAAATTATAGATTTACTTGTAGTTTGTTATTGTAAAGTGTTTGTTTTTTGTTTTTTTTCTTATTTCTCCAGGTATACATTTCTGGCCCCTAATTGTACCAGCAGAATGGTAGGGCATTTTATAAAAAGAATAATTTTGAAAAAAAAAATGGCCTGATTCTCCATTAAATGATACTCTTTATGTTACTGGCATATCATTTATGTTGTTATCTTGAAATCTCTTTAATGAATGAATCCATGTAAGTTCCTTAGAACAGCTCCTGGCGTGTAGAAAGTGCTCAGTAAACGTTAGTTATCATCATCATTATCATCTTTTAACCTTTTGCGGGGCTTTTCGGTTGAAAGCATGCTATGTTATTTTTATGCATTAGCCCCAAGATTTATTGTGAAAGTCATGCTGTTTTCTAAGTGAAAAAAAAAAGAGAGAGAGAAATTTATGGTAGCCAGTGTTTTATTTTTCCTTCTGTTAATGAAGTCAAATAAATATTTTAAAAAACTCGTAACAATCTGTAAGTTAATAGGTAGATTGTGGCCCAGAGTTGTATTTACTCCATCATGTGAAGTCAGTGTCATATGCAGAAATTCCACATTTTGAGAAATCAAAGCATTTGGGGTGCCTATAACTTGCCCCTATAGTGTTTTAAAAAATGGAGCCCTGGATCCTGGTGTTAAAAACTAGAAAACACATTATTTTGTTGTGATGGGTTTAGTGAAGGTTGCAATGAACAGATAATTACATTGGAACACTAGGCAGATGTACTTTACAAGTTATTGTGCACTTTGCTGCAAATAACCATTTGTGGATCAACTCTTAGGCAGACCATGGAGTCCAGCAAGAAGGGAAGGAGGCCTGAGGATGCTGGATTCTTAAGACAAGAAGGTTTGACTGGTTCTTTTTAAAGAATGAAAGTTTTGGAGGCTCCTGAACATGACAAAAAAAATAAGAATTATTCAAGAAATAATGACACATTTGTTATTCCTGCCTGGGTGTCAAATTCAACAGGTAAAAATTGGAACATACAGTTTCTGCTTCACACGGACTCCTGTGCCCAATCAACCTGTTCTTCCTTCCTGGTTTCTTATCTCAGTTAATCACATCACCCTTTTGTTGGAGCTAGCAATCTTAGAGTCTTCTCTGACTTTTTAAAAAGTACCCTCTTCTGCAGGAGTGGGATATAGCTCAGTGGTAGAGTGTGTGCTTAGCATATATGAGATCCTGGGTTAAATCCCCAGTACCTCTATTAGGAAAAAAAAAACTAAATTAAACAATAGATGAATAAACCTAATTACCCCCCCCCTTCAATAAAGTAGCCCTTTCTTCCCTGCCAAGTCCATGTAATTTTATTTTCAGCCTGGACTCAATGTCTTACATCATTTTTGGAATGTTTTCAGCCATTATTCTTACAATACTGCTCTTGCTCTGTTCTCTCTGTTTGCTTTTTCCAGGAGTCCAGTTAAATAGATGCTGGACAGTGAGTAGGACTCTATCTCTTCTGTACTTTCATCCTTTTGCCTCTGTCTGTGTTATTCTAGATACCTTCTTCTGACTTGTTTTTAGGTCCTTCATGTCTCTCTTTAGCAAGGCCTAATCTGTTAAAAATCCATCCATTGTGTTCTTAATTTCAGTTATTGTATTTTCAGTTTTAAAAATTTTATTGGTTCTTTTTGAATTCTCCTGTGCTTAAAAAAATATTTTCAGTTCTCTGCTGAGACTTTCAATCCTATATTTTATTTCCTGGAGTATAGGAAGCTAATTATTTTAAAGCCTGATCAGTGCCAATATCTGGAGTTCATGAAATTCTGTATCTATTTTTTGTTGGTTTTGCTATTCTTGTTCACATTATCTTATCTCAGTCTCTGCCTATTTTGGGGTTTTTTTTTTAGATTGTATCCAAAATTGTATTTGAAAAATTGTTTATAGAAATGATTTTAGGCTTACAATAATTTTTTTTTCTTTCCAGAAAGGATTTTTATTTGCTTCCTCCAGGAGCCTAAGGCATTAGCAATCTGGGATCTCTTTCACCCAGTTGAAAGACCTGAGATATTCTGGGCCACCCAGATGGTTTCAAGCTGGGCTACAGGCAGTGTGGAGGCTCCTTAGTTTCAATTTACCTTTATTCCTAGCACTTCCTGGTCCCCACACTATTGTGTTTTTACCAGTGTCCAACTTTTGTCTCTATACCAGGTTATCAAGCTATTCAGCTATCAAACACTGGTTTTGTTATAATTAACAAATGCTCCCAGAAGAAAAGTAGTCTCAAATGTCAAGCTCACTTCTCTGGACTTTCATCTTCTCCCAGGTGGCCAGATGGTAGCCAGGTAATTTTTCCCTGCAATGTTGGCCCTACAGTGCTTTTGAGCAGACATAAAAAAAAGTTTTGTTAGTCTTTTCTAGTTTGAAGATGGTGTGAGTTACCTAGTCTGCAATTAATGGATGCTGAAGTCCCTCTTAATTTTATCTTAAGTTCTTTCAAACAAATTTATTTCCCTAGAGTTAGTATGGTAATAAATTAAACCCCAGATCTCAGTGGCTTATCCAACAAATGTTAAATTTTTCTCTTGTGTTACTAGTCAAGCCAGGGTTGGGATGGTTTGGATGGACTGGAGGTTTGTTCCAGACAGCCACTCAGGTATCCAGGATTTATGTTTTCTCCACTCATCATCTTGTAGTTCACTCTTTGGAGCATATAAGGTATGACATCACCATGAAAAAGGAAGTAGGGGAGAGAAGAAGGAGGCACACTGGCTTTTCACTGCCTCACATGGAAATGACACTGTCATTTCTGCTCCCAGTTTATCAACCTACACTAGTCAAATAGTTCCAACCTAACTTTAGAGGTGGCCGGGGAATAAGGGGAGCACGTGGATTACTGAGAGAGCCCTAATTACACCTGGCACTCAGCTCTAGCCTAGGTAAGGGTCTTAAGAACTCTCACGTAGCATGTTGAAAGCCTCTTAACCCCAAGTGCCCAGAATGAGGTGACTCTCCTATGTGGCATTCTGGGAGATCTGAACTAAGTTGTAGGGAGCAAATCCTGTATGAAAGGGATACTTGAGCCTTCTCCAGGAGAGACCACAAAGATATCAATTCATTAGAGTACAAAACATTCTGGGCTGATTCCGACCTGACGTTAACCGCTGCATGGATCAATTTGAAGGGCCAGGGAAGCTGAATTTTCCTTTTGTTTTAATTTATTACTGTTTCCCAGGCCTTATGCTAAGTTCTTTCTGTACATAATCTCATTTAATTCTCTTGGCAACTCAGTGAGGAAGGTTAACTATTTATTCCCAAGTATTTATTAATAAATAAATGGTGTTTCAGAGCAGAACCTAAACTCAAGACTCTAATGGCAGTATTTTAATCTTCTTTTTTTTGAATTTGAAATATAGTTGATTTATAATATTATATTAATCTTAACTCAATTAAATATTAATCTTAATTAAATATTAATCTTAATTCTTAATATTTTAAAATAGAAGTACTGGGGAATTGAACCCAGGACCCTGTGCATGCTAAGTATGTGCTCTACCACTGAGCTATATCCTCCACCCCCTTAATTCTTAATTTTTAATCCGTTCTCTACCTCTTCTCTTGGCTGCAGTAATTCCAGACAATGGTGATTCTCTAAGTCAGGAGAATTTCCCAGTGATTTCAGTAAGGTATGAGCAAACTGGCAGTTTAGTTCAGACCCCAGTACAGGGACAGGTGAAAAACCAGATGAACAAGTGGAATCCCTCTTCTTACCAACTGCTAGACTAGAAGGAGACATAAGAACTAGGGGCCCCTATTTCCCCTATGTCCCTGGCAACCCAGATAGTAAGATAGGAAGGTTGAACCCAGTACTTACTGTGTGTGTGTGTGTGCACGCGCGTTATGTTGTGGCTTGCGGGGGGCTAGTCCCAGAGGTCTGTACTTCTCCCAGGCATCCAGGGTATGGAAACACAAACACTGTTCAGATGCTCAGTATATGTCCTGCACAGAATAGATGCTCAGTGGGTATATTCTTCAAAATCTGATGTGGTGTTTAAGGAAGATTATGCTGGAGGTGATGTTCAGGTTGGCTAGTTAAACATGGCAGGTTAAATGTAGGTAATTATATTTACTTTCTAAAATTATAATAAAGGAATCAAAGAGCACATAAACTTTCCAGGACAAAGAGACAGGAGGAGAAAATCACATTTAGGAAGCTGAATGGGGATTCGTCAAACTTAACTGACTTCAGCAGAACAAAATGAAAAAAGAAGACAGATGATTTGCGTTATTGTGCCCAGGGAAGCTGCAAAATTGGAGGCACCAGGACCAGGTACCTTGGGAGGACAGAGTGAGTAGGTAGAGTGATGTTGGAGGAAGGGGGCTGAAAACACAAGGACTAGTTGAAAGTTAGTTGCCTGATTTAGCAACCCTACTGAAAGGGCATGTGAGGAGCAGTTCTAACTCCAGAGTCTCTACCCAACCAGCTCAACCAAGGAACTGCCCTCCCCACACCTAGTGGAAAACAGGAGCTTTATTTTCTGGACAAGGAAACTCTGGATTCAAGAACACCTGTCACAGCTGAATCTAAGTTCCAAAAGGTAGAGATTTTAGTCTATTTTGGTCACTGATGAATCTCAAGTACCTAGAACAGTGCCTGGCATTTAATAGTTACTTGGTAAATACTTGTCAAATGAGTGAATGAATGAATGAACGGATCTCTTTAAACACAGGGAAATTGATTAAAAGTTTGCATATGAAACATGGAAAACTTTCAGCCATCTTTGTGAGCGAAGCTTCCAAAATGTTGATGGTCAGGCTCCTATTCTCTTGGCAGTAGACTGAAGGATTCATAGGGTAAGGAGTGGGAACTCACCCTCTAAGAGAAAGGCTTACAGTCATTGATATTTGGGGTTTCCCCATCGAAACAAGTAGATCCCTACCCAGTCATTTCCTGTGGAGGCCACCCACCAAGCCCTGCCAATGGGAATAGAAATTCCATCATTCATTCATTCTAAAATTATTTACCACCTAGAATGAGCACTTCAATTAATGAGCACCTATTTTCCATCTCCAGTCCAGGCAATGGAGATAGAAAATAAGTGAACAAAATAAGTCTCTGCTCTAATGGAGTTTACATTCTAGAGGGCAGGCACAAAAAATAAGCCGATGAGTAAATTCAGTGTATGTGGTTAAGTGCTAAGGACAACATAAAACAGGGTAAGAGGGATAGGGAGTGTGGGGGTTATAGTGAGTGTTCAGGGACAGTGGACCTTAAGCAGAGAACTGAAGGCAGTGAGGGAGCAATTCAGGAGCATGTTTGGACAAAGGGTTCCAGGAATAGGAAAAAGCAAGTACAAAAGCTCTGACGTGGGAACACACTTGGCATATTTAAAGAACACCAAGTCTTTTAAAGTGGTCAGGTTCTGGACATATTTCGAAGACAGACAGAACATTTACTGAGAGCTGGAAGACTGGGGAGGATCAGGATTGGTGGGGGAAGGAATCAAGAATCAGGGT